GCGCTGGAAGCTTTCTGGGTTGCTCGCTCGCAACATTGCGGGGCCGAAGCAGAGGAAATATCGCGCGCCACGAACGAAGCTTGAGCACAGCACGTGGCATGAGTTTTTAAAGCAGCCATGAAACCTGGGAGGAGTTGCTGCGAGGCCCCCGCCCCAGCGGTCGGAGGAGGAGGCGCGAAGGACATGTGCGCCGAGGACTGGGCTCACGTCGGGGACGTTGACGCAGGGCCAAGAAGATTTCTGCGCAGTGCGAGCTCGCATGAAACGTGTGAGACTGCGTCGTACGCCACCCGACTGGAGCTTCCCATGCCAGGCGGAGTGTGGCGTCTCTTGATGCTGCCGGGTGAATACAAGTATTCACACAACGATGCGCCCGAGTTTGACGAGAATGATCTGCATTTCCCGAGTATAGATGAATGTTATCTGTGGATCTGCATCGCTGTGCGACAACTTTGGTTGACACCACCGGCGTGGCACAGGAGCAGGGCGTTCTCTCTTGATAAGTTTAACGGTAAAAGCGAGTGCAAGGGCCAGAGGCTTGTACACTCGCTGGGCTCATTCGGTAAGATTGCTACGGATATCTCTGGTGCTGCTATCAGCTACTCACGGGCGCGGCGGAGCTGTTTAAACAAGGTTACGTTTTGCACAGGTCTCGATTGACTGCACGGACGGCACGCTAGCTGTAGGCATAGGCCAAGGCACCCTACCTGAAGACACGGTCGCTTGTACATGTTTCCTGGGGCCGCACAATGCGCAACTGGACGGATTTCGAGAATCGGACGCTAGAAGTAATCGGTGCAGGTGCAGTGGTTTCGGCATTGTCTGACAGATGCGCCTGAAGGTAGACAGTTCCTGAATCAACTTGCGCGTGATTACTATGACATATCGGTGTCGAGCTTCTCGGATGATATTGCGAGGACGTCTGCAGTAGAGGACGCCGCCGACTGCAGGGCCAGGTGCAACTCACAGGTCTTGCACTTGGGCTCCCAGATGCACGAGATAAGCGTAGCTATGAACGGAGACAAGCAAGTATCTTTGGTGCAGTTGAAGGGAGGGGGATTCAGCAGGGCATGAGGAGGCTTTATCGAGACGAGGGAGCGGTACGAGGGCAGGTGCGGAGAGAGGCGTCACACCTGGGAGGCAGGCTGCAGTTTCAAGGAAGCGTGAAGCCTGAGATCGACAATCGCATCAAGCGTGCGAAGCAGGCGTTCGCTGTCCTGGGCAGTTGTTGGTCTGAAGTTACGAGCGATCGGTGGCGATCGGTGATTTTCAAAAGTATGGTGGAGGGAATCATGTTCGCGGAGGTAATAACAGATCCGATTGGGGAAACGGAATTACAGAGACTGGAGGGAGTTCAGGCGTCTTTAGCGAGAAGGGCGTTGCAAGGTAAAGGGTGTCTGAAGTTTGCTGACACTGAAGACCAGCCGAAAAAAGCGGTGCCCTCCCGAACGCGCAGACTCGGGAGCAAATGAAACTTCGGACACCCTCTAGTATACTGCGAGCATGGCGAGTCAGCTGGTGGCAGGAGCCCGTGAGGTCCCCCGAGCGCCACACCTTGATGCTGGCATCGCTCTTCTGCTATGCTCGTGGGACAAGCATTGCCTATGTGAACCAGATGGTTCGATTGTTTCGTCGGCAGGTGCCAGCGCTGTTCACACATGGTGGAGCCAATTCGTGCTGGCTATTTCTGCTTGCATCGAGGAGCTCGGTATGCCAGAGGTGCGGCCAGCACTCCTCCGCAAGCCTGTCGCCTTGTTCTGTGACGACAGTATCAAGAAGGCCTTTTGGAAGTGAAATTATCGCAGGTAAAGAAGTTTTCTGGAGGATCGAGGACGTTTCAGGATATCTACCAAGAAATGACGGAAGTGGAAGAGAATACTCTGGGTAACGGAGGAGACGTGGAAAGAGGTGGAGGGGAGGCTGAAGGAGGCGGAGGAGAGGGACAAGGAGATGTGCTTCCTGGCCCGCCTGTGCCACTCGAGCCCGAAAATGTCCCTGCACCATACGAGTGCGACATAGAGGGCTGCAGCATGACGTTCACCACGAAACGCCAGTTACTTCTTCATCAGGCCAGCTCAAAAGCAGCGGGCCACGGACAACAGAACCTCGCCAAAATCCTCACTATTTCCAACAAGTGTATAGGTGTGACAACTTCTACACGACCCGTCGGTACGCATCGGATCACCTCGCTGCCAGTCTATTTCGAAGCCAGTGCCCTAGATCTAGAGGTTCGGTGACGATACATACACATGTGGTGAGCCCCCCGTACACATGCGAAATATGTAACATCGAGTCTCAGAGCTGTAATATCGCACGAGGACATGGGGTAACACACCTTCCTTGAGGTATACAACTGAATTAGAGACATCCTCCTTTGCTTCGGCG